ATCCCAGCACCTGGGAGGCAGAGCCAGGCGGATCTCTGTGAGTTCGAGGCCAGCCTGGGCTACCAAGTGAGTTCCAGGAAAGGCGCAAAGCTACACAGAGAAACCCTGTCTCGAAAAACCAAAAAAAAAAAAAAAAAAAAAAAAAAAAAAAAAAAGAATGAATAACACTACAATTCTAAAACTCCATTTTTCCTAATAAGTCTTCAAAATGATAGAATTTCTAATTGAAGACTAAGATGTCAATAAAACTTAATCACAAAAATTGACCAAGGGAGGAGTGGTGGAATGCACCTGTAAATCCAACTGTCAGGAGGCAGGAGACTGCTAGCTCAGAGCTAACTCTTCTCAAAACAAACAGAAACAAGGTTCGAATTCTTGTTGTGAGATATATTTCAGTTTTAAGTAGATGTCCATATGGTAAGTAAATAAATGATGCACTTAGACATAAATTATAAGTACCCTAACCATATATATAATATAGTATAAATATATAAACCTGTGGGTAAAGGATTGGAAAACAATTTAAAAACGAACCCATGAACTTAAAAGTTAAAAACGGCTTTGGGTGAAATGTCTTTGAAGTTTTTATGTTTTAGATTTGGCTTAATGGATGAAAGAGTTGTTTAAACAACTATGTGATGAACTTTATAGAAAGTTTGACTTTGGTAATAATTCAAAAGTGCAGATTTAACCAAGCCGAGCTCTACAGATGAAAAGGAAAACAGAGGGGAGCCCTTTGGGTTTCCTTTCTGTTAACTCACGTCTGTTAAATGATCAGGTTAAACATATAGGCACACAACAAAATGACTTGGGTCAAATCACTATACACACCCAAGTTTCAAGGGCAGTGGCCGTCACAAGTCATAGGAGGGCAATCCTCTGCTGTCCCTTTAATTAAGGCAGTACTTGGAAAACTCAGTTGTTCCGTTTGTGTCTCAAATCAGATGGAATTCACCTTTACCGCGCTTGAATCCTGATAGCTCAGCACACTTGATAGGTAACTTAATCGTGTCTGGTGCAGATGAACACAAACTCAAATTAGCTACTGAAAGACTCCGCTTCTCAGAGTTAGCTGTGCTTTTCCACGTTTGTGCGAGAGCTGAGCTTCACCAACTGTCTGGCTGGAGGTGGCATTAAAAATTTAGTCAAAGAAACAAAGGCGTGCTGGGCGTCTCTTGTTACCCTTTCTACGGTTACCCCGGCAGACAAAAGGCATAGAGCCCACCTCATGAATAATGTGACATGGAATATTCACAATCCATTTTTAATGGCACCAAGTAATAACATTAAGAGAGATATTTGCAATCTTCAAATTTCACAGGGCAACTGGCACAGTAATTTGTTTTGATTCTAAACTGAGGGATATTGAGATAAGTATTTTCCCAATGCGGGGGGCGGGGGGGGGGGGTTCTGGGGAAGCACATAGTTAACATCAAAATTATAATTTCTAGGCTAAGCATCGTGGAACATGCCTGTTATCCCAGCTCCTTGAGGAGCTAAAGCAGAGGAATTGCCAGTTCAAGCTCAGCCTGTGTTACCTAGCAAGACCCTATCTCTCAAAGCAAACAAACAAAAACAGAGAGAGAGAGAGAACATCCCCTAACAGCATAAACATGGAAAATAACAAAAGTGCAGCAAATATTCCAAATGTCACCAGGCAAGATGAGGAGGAGACAGAACCCATAGGTTTCAATCAGTTCCACTCCCCTTCATTATAATTTTACTTTCCAATCAGGTTGGAACTAACAGACCAGTGTACACACTGACTTGTGAGCAAGATATCTTATCTTCATTCAGAAAGGACTTTACCTCCCCAGATACTGTGAAGCGAGTCCCCACCCTTGGACTCTTCATCACCCACAGTTTCTGAGAAGCTACCTTCTCAAACCTCATACAGGAGTAAACTTTGAATGAGAGTAAACCCATATGGAAAGACTTGATCTTGGAAAGCGAACAAGGATGGCCAAGGACTTAGATCCAGGAGGAGCAGCACCAAAGACCCTCGAACCCCCACTTAGAAAGTCTTGTGTGATTCCTGGCTGCAGGAGGAAGCAGGGGTCTTTCCATCACTGCTAAATGAAGGTCCATGGGACTTGTCCCCACTGCTGTGCCTCCAAACACATGCTGGGTACTCAGTTGACATGTGGGAAAATGAACGGAAATGGACAGTGTTGGTGGTTTCCCTGGACCACGTGGCCACATAGGCTGATGCTCTAGCTGGAAGATGTCAGAGCACAGGTAGTAGGGAAGGTCAGGACCTTATTCTGGTTTCAGTCTTTTAAAGGACCTACTACTGATGGGATAGAGACAGAATAACCCTCTGCTGGCTAGTTTTATGTCAACTTGACACAAGTGGGAGTTACCTCAGAGGAGGGAACCTCAGTGGAGAAAATGCCTTCATAAGATCCGGCTGTAGGCAAAGCCTGTGGTGCATTTTCTTAGTTGGTGATTGAAGGGGTATGTCTCAGCCCTAGGCTTGTTGTTCTAGGATCTATAAGAAGGCAGGCTGAACAAGCCATGATTGGGCAAGCCAGTAAGCAGCATTCCTCCGAGGCCTCTGCATCATCTCCTTCCTCAATGGAATATAGCTTGGGATATGTAAGCCAAATCAACAAATAAGCCCTTCCCTCCACAAGCTGCTTTTATTCATGGTGTTTCATCACAGCAATAGTAACCCTAAGACAAACCCAGATCCCCATTTCACTCTTCCTCACACATTTTAGGTTTGTAATTTGCCTTCGACACAGCAGTCAGCCAGTCAACCTTTATCTCTCTCTCCTCCCTCCTTTCTTCCCTCTCTCTCCCTCTCCTCTCCAGTCTCCATGGAATCTGAGTAGTCAGAATTAGATTGGTGTGGTATGACCACATCTATGTTTTATGGTCAAGGAAACTAGGAAGTGAAAACATTTGCCAAGTCACAGGATGCATCAGTTGACAGCAAGACTCAAACCTGGGCTGAAAAGATGGCTCTGAAGTTGGAGCGCCTGCTGCTCCTGCAGATCACCTGAGTTGGGCCCAGCACCCATGTCAGACAGTTTCACAGCTGCCTATAACTCCAGCCTCAAGGGCTCATCCTTTTCTGGCCACCTCGGGCACCTGCACACTCATGTACATACATTTATAACACACACAGAGACACACAAGAAAACATTTTTAAGACACTCATATCTAAATCAAAGGCCTATGATTTTTCATCTAGGAGCCTATGTCCTATTTTTTTTTTAAGTGAAATTCTCACAGGGAAGAACTGATGTCCCTATGAGAGTATCCAGTACTCTACATGGCTAGCAGTTGAGTTTTACACACCTTCTAAGTTTTAATTTAAAAATATAGTAGCCAAATGAAGTGGCACACACCTTTAATCCCAGCACTTAGGAGGCAGACAGATCTCTATGAGTTTACTATAGAGATATAGTGAGACCTTGTTTCAAAAAAAGAGAGAAAAGTTGATTGATTGATTGATTGATTATTGACTGACTGACTGACTGACTGACTGACTGATTGGAGGGCTGGAGAGCGAGCTCAGCAAGTTAGAATGCTTCCTGCTCTTCCAGAGGACATGAGTTTGGTTCTTAGCACACAAGTTTGGCAACTTACAACCTCTCATAACTACTCCAATCCTAGGAGATTCAATGCCCTCTCTAGCCTCAGTGGGCATGTACACTCATGTCTGCGTATCCATGCACAAACAATGACACACAATTTAAAATAATAAAAATAAATCTTCTTTTTAAAAGAAATAAGTATCTCTGAGGCATAAAGGAAAGGGAGAAATATGGAAACTGGAGCAACTGGTATTTACTCTTTGCTATTCCTCAGCAGTCCTCCAGTCCCAGCTTCCCCCCCAGGAAAAAAAATAACAACACCAGTGTTCTTCCCCTGAATTCCTGGCCTAAAGAAAGGCAATTTGTAATAGTCTTAATATTTTATTAAGTTAAAACAACATTCTAATAAATATGATCTAACATACATAATGCACTCAAGAAGATTTAGAAATATTTACAACCTTCTCAGTAGAAATGCTTTTTTCCTAGATGGTACACAGGAGCAGGGGCTGAGGTCGCAGCCTTTGCCCCACATCTACCAGCCCGGGCATCTTATAAAATATCCACTCAACAAAAACTGGATTTGCTCATGAATCTTTGAAATAACCCTCCAGTTGCTCTTTACACTTGAAAAGCTCCAAACGTGTCAAAAAGGAAGTCTGAATATTTGTGTGGCCTTTTCAGAACTCCCTTGGCGGAGAACACAGGCTGTAGCTACTCTGAGGTCCCACTGATAGATTTTGAGGGGCAGGGGCGTGACTTTAAAGATTTTGAGGGGCAGGGACGGTGACTTTAATCTCTGGCTCCCCAGTACCTGGCATGGCTCCTCACTCTGATAACTTGTGGTCAATAAACACTTGCTGAGTAAACGAAGGGCAGCTTGTCCCCAGGAACTGGCGCACAGTCCCACCTCCTCTGATGGAACCACAGAGGACCGCTGACTCCCTCTCCTCACCAAGTCCACCTTCTGACAAGCTTGATGGTGCATCTGGTGATCTCAAAGGAATACAGCCCCTTCCCTAAACCAGTGTCTGAAGAGAAGAAATGGTCAGCAGCCTCCCCAGAAGAGGAAGAATGTTCGTTCTTTCTACGTAAAGCATCAGGCAGTGTCCAAAGTTTAAGAGGTGATGCCTGCTTTTAGCAGCTGCCCAGACTTCTTTCCTGCCTGTGAGATAGGGCAGAAAAGGGAAGGACTGGGAGGTACAGATTACATTTGATCCCCATCTTCAGCTGTAGGGAAGCCCAACGCCCAGACAATTGCTGTGGTTCCCACTCTGGGCTGACCTTTGAAAAGGGAGTTCATCTCCTCCAGCAGCTTTGGGAAGGAAGGGGAAGGGGACTAGCCATAGTGAGCTTTGCACACTGGACTCGGGGCCTGAGAAGGGGCTGGAGGCAGGCAGGAAAGGCATCCTCTGCAGTAGTGTTCACAGCTGGCATTGCAGATGGCCAAGGGGCTCATTTGAGTCCATGCTGAGTCTCCCGGTGCCTCCTGAGGTCCACCTTCCTCTGGAAGCCCTTCCCACACAGGTCACAGCCAAAGGGCTTGAACCCCGTGTGCTTCCTGCTGTGAGTGATGAGGTTGGAGCTCTGACTGAATGCTTTGCCACACACCTGGCATTTGTGGGGCTTCTCACCTGCAGGGATGGAAGGACCAAGGGCAGGAAGTAAGAGCCTATGATAAAGCTGGGGGGACCCGTTGCTACCCACACGCTCTTGCTAGCAGCTGGCTAAAAACCTTCAAGACGTTGGAGGGTGATGGGCTGAAACGCGAACCAACTCCTGGCCTGCATCTTGGTACCCGTAAAACACGGGTACACCAGGTGGAAGGGAGACTTTTTGAGTGGAGGCTCCCAGCCAAAGCTCTCAAACGGTTTCCTGCTAAACGGAAACTGAGCAAAGGCCACGTGCCCTCCCCAGCTGAATCCGCCCCGGAGGACATGCCCGCCAGACTTTTAGAAGCACAGGGCCCCCAGCAGATGTTCGGCAGGAGGGTGGGAGGGGCTGCCCTACAGACCCTGTGACTGCTTTCGTCAGAGGAAGCTTTCAAATCTTAGTTTCCAAGTGGGTGTTGTTTTGTGTGGCCAATGAAGCTGTCTTCTTTCTCGCTCTTGAAGAACACAGTTTTGTCCAATGTCTTAACTTTCTAAAATCCACATGAGAGCCACAAATCATTTCTTACGGTTGTCTGTTCTATCTTTTACTTTCTTCCCTTTTTCGAGGTTTTAAATCACAGGATTCTCAATATACCAACAACTCTTCACTACAGATCAGTAGATAACAGGAGGGGAAATTTTAAAGATAGGTAAAAGGAAGAAAACCAACAGCTTTTGTCTTTCCCTGACTTCTGCACTGGTTAAAATTGGGGTAAATGAACACATTCCCAAATAGTCCTCTCATGGCTCCACGGTTGGGAGTTGGCCTTGGGATAAAACAAACAAACAAACAAAAGTGCCTGTCTGTCTGTCTGCTTGTTTTTAAGGAACTCCTCTGTGTTCTTCCCTCTCTCTTCATACTTGAGATTTCCTGATAAAGACTCACCCAACAAAACTTACTCTGTCCCTCTAAAGTCAAATATATTTGAGAGATGAATTCTAGCCATAATACAAATGTTTAATTAAAGGCTTAAATGTGCCATTCAGTCAAGATTCTAGTCGCATTTTGATGTGTCTTACATAACTAATAAATGGAATTTTTGGGCAAGGAGGCATGATCAAAGGGGATTTTTCCTGGGTTTTCTGATACAAGTGTCTACATTGTTCAGGAATGTTTACAAACATTGATTGTGGTTTCCTGGAAGGCACTGTGATATTTTATCTTTTATGCATTTATTTACTGTTTTTCTTTTAGGTTTTTCGAGACAGGGTTTCTCTGTATAACAATCCTGGCTGTTCTGGAACTTGCTTTGTAGATCAGGCTTGCCTTGAACTCACTGAGATCCACCTGCCTCTGTCTCCCAAGTACTGGGATAAAGGCGTGCACCACCACCGCCCAGCTGCTTACTGATATTTTTAAAATACAGGATACAACTATAAAGCCCTAGCTGGCCTACAGTTCATCATGCAGCCAGGGCTCGTCTCCATCTCCAGGGATCTGCCTGTTTCTTTACCTCCCATGTGCCACCACGCCCAGCTGTGATTTGATTTAAAGGAATGTTCATGTCCTTCAGTAAAGTCAGAAATATGGTCTCGTGTAACTGTCATGTTGACTATTACAGGAAACGTTCTTAGTGCAAGAGAATCATTTTAGCTCACAAGCTTCCACATTAAACGTGCCCATCTGCACCTGAAGTGTGAAGGAAGGAGGAGCCCAGGCCGAAAGCTAGAGCATTGAGATTTACTCAAACTGATTTTGATAGATCACTGGATGTCCAGACAATAAAAGGACCTCGTTTTACTGTATGGAGCAGCAGGAAAAGGCCAAAGGGAATAGACAATCTGAAACACTTGGGTATTTTTAAAGCACTATAATAGCTTAGGAATTGTCACCGTTAGGGAAGAAAATTGTTGATGTTTTGAAAAGAACAACAAATAACAGACGTTTCCCACATTAGCCAACACCCACAACTGAAAGTCTAATATAACAAGTCAAGACTATATACATTTGAGAGCTCAGACCAACAGACCTGGACTTGAGTCTCAGGTGACCCTGGATAAGTTATACGATCCTTCAGTGCCTTGATTTCCTCATCTCTAAAATGGGGCTAAAGAACAGTTCCTGTCTCTTGGAGTTGTCAACACAGACTTAGCAGAAAGCTTGCAGCATTTGCCTTTCTTTTTCTACCCAAACAAAGCAAGCTCTTATAAAAATGACGTGTCGATGCCGCACATGAGTCCCAATAGCTCTGGTAAACATTGACAGTGACCTTCTGGGAGCGCTTGATGCAGCAAAGCTGTTAACATTAACACAGAGGAAGATACTCCTTCAGACCCAATGCCAAACCAAGGTCCCTCTGGCGGGGGGGGGGGGGGGGGGGGGGGGGGGGGGGGGGGGGACCTCATCTACCACTCGCTGGAGCCAGAATATCAGAGGGTAGCCTCCAAGCATCTCCTACAAGCCCAGGCCCTTCTTGTCACCTGTGTGGATGAAGGTGTGCTTCTTCATGTCTGACTTCTGGTGGAACCTCTTGCCACAGTACTGACAGGGGTAGGGCCGGGTGTCCGAGTGAATGAGCAGGTGTGTGGACAGCGTGGACGACCTCTTGAAGCTCTTGCCACAGATCTTACAGTCAAAGCTTCGTTCCTGCAGAGGGGAAGGAAGGGAGAGGAGAGATGCACTGCCCTTTCTGCAGCAAGGACAAACCCTTCAAAGCCAGGAGTCCTCTGATTCTCCCTCCCTCCATTTAGTTTCAATCTCCACCCATCCTTCAACACCTACTTATTAACATGTTTTCTACCAAAACACTTTTCAGCCACAGCCCTCCACACCCCAGGGCAAAGGCATAGCTCCACCCTGCATTTTTGACACCCATTGGCAGATTTCTTCACCTTCCTCAGCAGGACCTTAAGCCACTGAAGATGCCCCCCCCAGTCACTGTGGGTTTTAGAGGAGATGGCCTGTTGTCACAGACACTTGGGCAGTATTTTTCTTGTCTTTAATCACCATACGCGCATCCGTCAAGGACCTCGCGCGCTACATGATTCTCCAGTGCCTGAAGCTTTGAATTTAGGCAACAGTTACTTATAAACGAACGAATGAACGACTAACACGCACACTGGATGTTGTATGTGAGCAGAGACCCTTCCTTGCCAGTCAGGGAGGATGATGAGGACATAAACAGTAAAGCCAATGCATGAGCAGCAAACGGCGGTGCAGCAATCCTTCCTCGTGCCCAACAGAACTCCACCGCTGGAGGCTCACAGCGGTGGGACACCACGGTCTAAGATTGCTGCAACCCCGGCCCTGTATCACCCAAGTTTCTCTGGGCACCTACATCCGGGAAAGCAGAAGGGGCAGCAGAGGAGTCCGGAGGCGATGGGAACGTGGCTGAAAGGTCCCCACGGCAGCGTTCAGGCCTCCAGCGCCCAGCTTACCTGGGAGTGCACGGCCTTGTGCTGCTCCAGGCTCACCGCGTGCCCGAAGGTCTTGCCGCACATCTCGCACGCAAATGGTCTCGTGCCGCTGTGGGACCGGCGCACGTGCACCTCCAGCCCGTGCGGTGTGGAGAACACCTGGGGGCGAGTGGGGCCAGGGAGAAGGCCGCTGAGGGGGGTCTCGGGGTGTGGACGCCGGAGGGTCACGGGCTGGGGGCGCAGGCGCAGGGCTGACGAGGCCAGGCGCGCGGGAGCCTCACCTTGCTGCATTTGATGCATTTGTAGGAGCCGCCGCCCAGCAGCAGGCGGGTGCACAGCAGCTCCGACTCCACCTTGACGCCCACGCTCTTGTCTGCGTGGATCTCGTGGCCGCGATCTTGGTACAGCCGGCCGGCTGCTGCGCTCGGCCGTTCGTACACCCCGGCCGCCGCCGCAGGCCCGAAGTCTCCGTAGAGCCCCAGGCCCGCGCCGCTGGTGGCTCCTCCTGCGCCGCCGCAGCTCCCGGGTGGCCCCGCACCGGCTCCGCCCGCGGCCGGCTCCGGGCTGTACAGCGAGGCCGGGTGTCCCGGCTCGGCGGCGGCGCTGCGCTCGCAGAAGAGGCTCAGGCCGGCGCTGCGCTCCAGGGCGGGGCACTGCCGGTAGCTCTGCACCAGGTGCCGCAGGTCCGACCCCGCAAGGCCGCTCCACGCGTAGGGCTTGAAAGGCAGGGTGTAGGACTGAGCTTCGTCCAGGGACCGGCACAGCGACTTCTCAGAGGCTGCGGAGGCACAGGAGGCCGTGGGGTCAGGTTCGAGGCTGCTGGGCGGAGCCCGCACTGTGTGGTCAGGCTGCTAGATGGTTAGAACGCTAAGCATCCCGGGACACCCTGGGTGAAACTCAGGTAGGCCCCGCAGGGCTTCCCGGGCCAGTGGCAGGGCAGCAAAGTGATGCTTAAAATGACATAGGGTGAGAAGATCGGTAAATTCGATGTGACGATGTCTGGCTGGACCCCCATCCCCCAGCACCTGTCAGTCCTGTTGGGAAAGACTGGAACTTAGGCCTAGGGTCCTGCTTCTAGATCCCTTCAAGTCGCCACTCAGTCCTTTTTTCTTTTTTGCGATAAATTATGAAGAAGGGGGAAAAAAAAACAACATCTTGGGCCGAGGCTGTCTAGAAGTATCAGACCGAACAAACTAGAATGGCTTAAGCTCTCAAAGCAGTGAAGTTGTTTAATGTGGCTAGAAGGGGCAGCGGGCAAGGCTCCAAGTACGCCCATCCCTGATAAATTTCTGATTAAAAAAAAATATTTTAGTTAAGAGAACTGTAGAACTTACTTCAGGAGAACTCCCGTCCCCCCGCCCCCCACACGTGAATTTTGCTAAAACTGGATACTGGATGAATATGAGTAAATCACCCGCACACTCCACTCCGGGTTGCGGGACCGCTGGTCACACGCTGCCAGGAAGAACCCTTTGCTTGCGGGGATGGATGAGCTGTCTTTTATAACCAGTACCATAACCTGAAAATAACCAACCCTTGGCAGGATTTGGATTGATCTGCTCCTTTCTTACTCTTACCCGGACCCGAGATACTCCTACTCAACCCTAGTCTCGTGGTTTTCAGGAAGCTCAGTTGCTCCCTGGAAATGAACCCGTGTATGCTGGCCCCTTCTGGGACTTTTTAAGCAGAAAGGGGGGGGGGGGGCGGAATGAAACTTTCAAAACAGAGCCAACGAGCTGAGATTTTCCTCAGCAACCTCGCTCTCCAGTGTGGCACCCAGCTCTGTCCGGCTCAGACTGCCCAGGTGTCCTGTTTGAGGTTATTCGCGTCTGCGTCCTGGATTCTGGGCTCTGACACTTTCTAAACAATGAATTCTGGTCAGAAAAAGAAATGCCAGCCAGACGAGAGGACTGGCTCTTTGGTCGCACCTGTCAGCTCCAGGCAAACGAATTAAGCGCCAGCCTGGAGCCAACAGCCTTGGGAGGAAGCAGAGGACACTTAGGGCGAGCTGTCCAGGGCAGAGAGGCTGGAAGCCCCCGCCCCCGGACCCCACAAACGGGTCCTTACCCGGAGACACCGAGGGAGAAGGAGGCCTCCAGAAGTCCTCGAACTCGGAGCCCGGGTCACACACGCTGCCCTCGCAGCTGTTGGGGGACGCGGAGGCTTTGTCGTGAGCTTCGGTTAGCTGAGAGTCGGGGGACGAACGGTCTCGGGGCTCCACCTTCGCTTGGCCTGCGTTCACAGGGTCGTCTGCGGAGAGGAGTCGGGAGAGGAGTCAACCCACTGCGGGGCCCGCGTCCTCCTCTGTCCACTCAGACCCAGCCGGGAGCCCTCCCGGGTTCAAGGGCCGGCTGTGAGAGGCAGGGGCGTCTCTGGCAGGCTCGGCAGAACCCCCGGAGCACCGGGACACAAACAAACAAACAAGCACCCGGGGGGCGTTGGGGTAGCCTCCCCTGGTTCCTGGAAGCGAGGTGGCTTGCAGCAGAGTCGGCGTCCCTGGCAGCTGCCCCTCCCGGCCCTGCGCGCCTCGCACCTGCTCTGCCGGGCGCGGGCACGGTCTCCAGACGGAGGGAGTAGTCTGGCCCGGGGGAACGCGGTTGGTGGTAGCTGTGCGCCTTCTTGCTCTTGACCAGGAAGGAGCGCGGCATGGTGGCCGGCCGCTCGATGAGCGTTTGGACCCTCGGTCAGCCTGAGGTTGCTCCAAGTTCTGAGAGGAGGGGAGGACCGGTGGAGATGCGGGTCGGCACGGATGGCGGCTGTAGACCGCACCCAGGCCAAGGGAGAGCGCGGGCCAGGCAGAAGAGAGGGAGGCCCGCGGGAGGAGGGGCTTGGCCCCCGGGCGCCGTGCTCACCAGGTGGCACTCGGACAGGTGGCGCGAGTCCGGGCCTCCGCTGCCACTGCCACGGCTCAGTGGTAAAACCTGTCCCCGGGCTCTGGCTCGGGTCCCTTTGCTGGGCCCTGCCCACGCCCCAGCCCCTCCCCTTCCCTAGCAGAGCTCTCCCATCACTCTCCAGAGAGCGGTAGTCCACAACTGGTCCGTTATCCCAACGCAGCCCTGCAATGCCCGCCAGGTCCCTTCGGGGCTGCGGAGAGCGCCTGGGACTCGTTGGGTTAGTTTAGTTTAGGCGGTAAGGTTGCTTCAGTGGTTGGCACCCGGAAGCCGCGTGGAGCCAAGACCTCCAAGAGCCCCGGGACAAACAGAAGCGAAAGAGGGGCGTACTAGGCAGGACCGAAGGACTGCGTGCAGCTGAGGCTGGAGGAGAGAGGCAGGAAGCCAGGGGGACAGGAAAGTGAGGGGGGTGGCAAAGGACCGACACTTGCCCCAGGAGAAACGCCCACTGGAAAAAGTTAGCCTCAAAACCAGCGGTGGTGCGGGCACTGGCCAGGGGAGCGACCGCTGTGAAGCTTCCCAGACCCCGTAGGCCTCGCCTGGGCAACTGTGTCCCGGGGAAGAAGCATTTTTCGATCTGCTCACCAGTTATCTTGTCCTAGGGAAGTTGAGTCTGAACTGCGTGCGCACAGACTGCCAATCTTGCGGCGCCCCAAATCCGTAGAGCAATCAACGGTTTAGGGAGCCAGCAAGATGAAACCGGAGCGCGCACGAGCGAGCCGTGGCCAGGAGGCCGGGGTCCTCGAGCCAGCACGACCGAGAGCTGGCGTCGCTCTCATTAACCCCCAATCACTTCACCTAATCTCGGGTCGAAACTTGAGCCCGGGCGGGAGGCGGGGCTGCCACTGCGTCCCAGCTCCAGGTCCGCTCCGGGGGCCCGACCCCGAGGAGGCCTCAGTTAAACGAATCTGCGTGTCTCCAAGGTCCAAGGCGATGGGGGGTCGATTCCCAAGCCCGCCTGGACGGCGGCGGCGGCGGGCTGAGAGACCAGGGCACGGGGAAGTCCAGGCTGATGTACGCCTCTGGTCCTTGGGCTTCGTGCGGTTTAGACGGCGGAACCGGAGCCGCTCCGCTCCCACGGCATGGTACAGAACACTCCTGACATCCCCACTCATAAGGAGTCTAGGGATCCCCGCTCCAGACCCCCAACCCTAGTGTGTGGCCTTCCCCGAGGAGTGGGGAGAAAAGTATGCTGGGAATTGCTGCTAGAGACCCAGACTCCGGAGGACCTGGGGCCAGCCTGTCACACTCCTCGGTCAGGTTCCACGCCCGGGCTCTGCCGCTTCAGATTTTCCTGCACCCCCTTGACTGACTGTACAGCCAGACGCTCCAACCAAAGGGCCGTTCTCAGAGCAAAGCATGAAGAGGGGAAACGGAGCGGGGGTCCCGGGGCCTCGGCGACGCTCAGGCCCGCGCTGGCCAGGCACAAGACCCGTGGGAAGCAGAAGGGCTGTGTGATCCCGCGCTGGGTCTGCGCGTCAGCAACCACGCAGGACACGGCAGACACGTCCCCGCTCCAGCCACAAAACTACGCCCCTCTAGCACCCTGGAGGGCTTTGCTGGTTCCGGGTAGGAGGGGTAGGGGGATGGCGAGGCCCAAGGCCCAGCGCGTGGGAAGGCAACCTCGTGCGGCAGCTGGCGTCCAGGGGGCGGGGCGGCACGGTCCTGGCACCGCGGCCCGCCAGGCTTCCCCTGGTCATCTGAGGCCGGGAGTTAGGGACCTGAAGGCAAGGCGCTCAGGAGCCGGCGTCCAGAGCCCAGCTGCCGCCACATGCCCACCAGATGGTTCCTTCCCACGTGGACCCTACTCCCCGACCTGGCCTCCAGACCGTGTGCCCCTATCCCGGATCTTTCCCTCCACCAGTTTGGAGAGAAAACCCAGCCCCCGGAGCTCTGCAGCAGGTGGGGACCCGCCAGCGCCCTCGGGACGTCCCCGAAGTGTACCAGTCCACCCCCGCCTGGGCGGGAGGCACAGCAGTTCAGTAAACCTACCTGCGGGGTCAGGGCGCGGGCACCGGCTCCGAGAGTGTGCAAACTGAATCTTGCTTTCGGGAGAGACTGATCTGTCTTGTTGACTTTTTTTTTTTTTTTAATCTCCTTCCGAGCTCAGCCCCCAAAACCACAAACTTCACTTCCTGAGCGTTAGAGGCGCTCGCTAGCCCTCCCAGACCAATCCCCATCCCCCAGTGGGGCGACGGGCCACGAGCCTCCTTTGCGCAAGGGGTCAGGAGGCGACAGGGGGGAGTCATTCTTGCGGCGAGCTTCCTGGGCACCCCTGAGCAGCCCTCCCCGTTTGCTTGTCTGTGGGGCCAGGGGTAATCTATGGAGGACCCGAGAGGTCTGAGTACCCAGCACTAGAAATAACTAGAAAGAAAATCGAAGTATTCTTGGCTCCTGGAGACTTCCGCAGCGAGAAGTCACAGATTCAGGACACAGATTGACGGGAGCGGAGGGCGCGCACTGGGCCTCCCTGGCCCTCTGGCTGTGGGCACCCCAACCCTGTCGCCTGCTTGGGCAGCGTCGCCCCCGGATCGCGGCCGTGAATCACCGGACCCCGGTGCCGCCGGCCTGGAGCCCGGCTGGTGGCCACCGCGTCCGCAGAGCGAAACCTGCGCCGCGCCCCGAAATAGCTTGTTATGGAAACACTTGAGGATAAATACGCCCAACGAAGCTGAAAATACCTTGACACCCAATCCCAGAGGTTTGCTCATTTCCCTTCGGATTTAGGTAACGGTTAAATTTGGAAGAGGTGGGCGAGCGCCGAGCCCGGCGAAGAAGGGCCGGGCTGGCGGCGCGTCCCGCGGGCGCCGGTGGCATCGGTGGGCGCGTCCTCCCTGCCCCGGCCCCCGCCTGGCGCGAGCTTCCGGTGGTCGGAGCTGCGAAATTAAAGGCGGTGCGGGGGCCGGCGCGCTGGGGGCCGCGGCTCGCCTGAGCCCTCCCTGCCGGGCCCAGGCTGGAGGGGGGGAGACTTGATTTGGCTCCTGAGGCCGCAGCCTGGGGGACACTGTCCTGAAAGGACTGCCCTGAAGGTGATTGCAAAGTGAGGGCTTCAGAATAATGTCAATGGAAGCGTGGAATTAATTAACACTATTGATAGCGTGTGTGTGTCGGGGGGATGCTTGAACTTCACTCTTCTGAAAGTAAAAACAAAAAACAAAAAAACACAGCCACTTGAGACTGTATGTTATGTTGTGTAGTAGGATGTGCACAGTGCATACTCGGTGCCTTCACCCTCTCCTCTCTTTGCAGAGGTGAAGCCGCTGAGTGCTCCATACTCTTCCAAGTGAGTTGGGCTGGGTTTTGGGTGCTATTTTGTGCACTATAATTCTGCAGTGAGACACTGGAGGGCCAGAGATGCCCCGCAGATCTTGAAAAAAAAAAAACAACCAAAATATGTTCACGCGTTTGTCTTGTTGGTTCTTTGAGAACGAAGCTCTGGGATTTGCACTTGCCAAGGACGTGACCATGAACTAACCCTGTTCTATAACTATCATGTTTTAGATTAATCCAAAATTGTTATAAGGAAAAAAAGCCCTTTTCATAGGAAAAAAGGTGATATTTTTCACTGTAAAATGTGGAAAACATTTGGTTAGCATAGAGCATTGCTTTCCGTGTTTTAACCAACTGGGCATCTTATCTACCTCCTGGGCCTGTATCATTGCTATCTACTAGGACACACATCCTGTCTGCTAAGCTGCCCTCAGGTACAGGATACTCAACACACCCTTTCTTTATAGATGAATGCAGAGGTATGCTAGCTTAGAAGGGCCACACATACTGAATTAGATAAAAGGAAAGCAGGGGTATTTTATTAATAATTTATTTATTGCGTGCTTTGTCTTGTCCTGTTGTGAATATCTCAGAGCAGTTCCAAAGCAAATCTTTCCCTTGTTATCTCATATTACTTTTGACAATGGAAAAATCAACATTTTAGAAGAAAATGACAAATGTGACAAAATTGAATTTGTTATTAACCAAATTACCAAAAAAAAAATGTGAAACTGTTTTTTCATAGAAGCAAGCGCAAAGTCAGATTTTCCCACCCAGGCTCTATGACCAGTCAGCAGTTTGGTTAAGTACTGCTGGAGGATCCAGGAAGGCACACTAGCACCTCAAGCAACACTGAAGCCATTCCTTTGACTAACCTGGGTGGTCTTATTTTCCATTTGCTGTCAGTAGCTTCTTGGGATTTCTGACTTGGCAAATAAAACTGGGAGCTGGGGCAGGGGTTCTCTGGAGCTGGTAGGAGGCAGGTGGCATTGAATCACCTGCATAGTTGTATGATTAATCTAAATATACACATTAAAGCAGTTAACATGTGAGGAAAGGATGCCTCTGAGGTGTATGTGTTGAGAAAGGACACCCACACTTGGGGAGCAGAGGAGGGAGGCAAGGAGAAGGGACCCAGAGAGATGAAGGGTTTCCTGGGAGCCAGACCTGTCTGTGATGTTACAATGTTACAATCACCTCTTGTTTATTTTATACTAAACTGAAGGTTAAGAAAGTATCAATCTGCCACGAGCTTCACACACACACACACACACACACACACACACACACACACACACACACACACACACACACGGGGTGGGGGAGGGGGAGAAGGAGCTAGTGGGCTAGAAGGAATCCTTCCCTTCATCTTCCTTCAGAAACAGAGATCTGATGGAGAACAAAAGGCACTTGAAAAAAAAATACATTTACTATTTTTTCAAGCAATTTACTGACTTTTTACAAAGTAACATTAATAATGTGCCTGTAGATGCCTAATGCCAAATGATTTCGTCTTCCAAACATTTCAGGCGTCTGGCCAGACTACTGTTTGTCTGAAGGAACATCTCATATATCTATTGGTAATAAAGACAGTGAGGATCTGGCTCCCAAAATCATTTCCGTGCTCAGGAGGCTGAGGCAGGAGGGCCACAAGTAAAAATTTAGACTTAGTTTTAAGCAACAAAAGATTTGAGACATAAAGAAAAGTAATGAGATGATATTATTTGTCGCCGCTTATTTTTTCCCTAAGATTTACTGCTATACTGCTCTGTTAGAGGGCTTGAGAGGAGTGGGAATAGAGAAACCCTAGGGAGGGTGCTGCTCGCACTCCCAGCATGCACTGTGGTACTGTTTGCCTCTTTGGAGTAGCTCAGAAACATTAAGAAAGGGGGAAAGACTTCATGCCTTTTGAAGGCAGATGCGATTATCAGTCTCTAGTCTCCCCAAACCAGTCTGGGACTGTGGGCAAGCTAGCTCAGCTTTGCCAGCTTTTTCCCACCAGGAAGTCAGACCATCAGCCTGCACTGCAGAATGGTGTTGGGAAAGTCCTCTAATGTTCTGTCTTCACAGATGCCTGTGGGGAGTGAGAATGAAGGCTACTTGCTGTAAGAGCACCTGAGGCTTAAGAAGATGTTTAAAAGCATTTTAAAGTGTATTGCATGCAATCTCATAAGGAACAGAATAAAACTCAGTCAAAGAACACCCCAGGTGTTTTTTTCTCCATTCTTGAAAAAAGAAAGCAATCTCATAGTTATAACTTCAAAAAGTCATAGCTATAATTGTGTGTTGTTTATCCTAGCATATTTATTTTATACAACACAAACTTTCTAGAGTTAAATTTACTTAAGTTAAAAAATCACAACATTGAAACATTATATAGTATATTATTGATATGTATAATTGTTATATTTTGTGTCAGCAAAAACAGTTTTAGACTATCATAATCTTCTATCATTTTAAATGCTGTAAACGACCTGTTAATTGTAATTTTCTTAACCACTCTTGCCTAAGCATTTAGCTCTCTCTCTCTCTCTCTCTCTCTCTCTCTCTCTCTCTCTCTCTCTCTCTCTCTCACACACACACACACACACACACACACACACACACACATTCAATCTGCATTACCCATCCTATTCTTCATAAGTCCTCAAGATTCCTCTCTCTCTCTCTCTCTCTCTCTCTCTCTCTCTCTCTCTCTCTCTCTCTCTCTCCCTCCTTATTTTTAAGTAATATGATGTAAGTTTTCTTAACACTGTTTCCCACTTCTCTTTGTGCATGGTGCTGGGGATGAACCCATTTCAAAGTCTTTCTTTAGGATCTATTTTTAAGAGTGGAGTTTCTAAGTCCAACAGTGAATATTTGAGTGGCCCTTGACAAATACTAGGAGTGTTTTAGGTAGAATCTTGGGTGATACATAAGTCAAAGAATTCATATTCAATAAATAGCCAAAGGACTGTGAAAGCCCACTGTAGAAACCACTGCAGAGCTGGTCTTTATTTTAGTGTAAGTGTTTGTTATAACAGCGACCACACCCTGTCATGTTGCTGTAGCTGTTCTCTGGTATTAAACAAGAAGCCTATTTGATTTTTGTCTTTGAATAAACCGTCTTAGTGAGTGCAGTCAGAAGGGATATAAAATGCATGTTTTCTCTAAAATATTTAAATTCAAAGAAATTAAATACAAAGTGATAATTGTGCGACCCCTGAACTTAGACACCAGATAAATGATTACCCACAGCAAACAAGACAGATCAGTGGAGAAGGGTGCTGGCCACACCTGAGTTTAGTCCCTGAAACATACATGGGGCAAGAAGAGAACTGAATCCCACAAATTGTCCTCTGACTTCCACATGCCCTACAATACACAAATATATAATTAAAAACCCCCTTTTATGAGCAGCAACATATCAAAGTAATATTCAGATAATGACGTCAGAGTATGACTTGATGGTCATCACTCATGGTCAACAGGCAATGCAAAAGCCGGGAAGTAAGTTAAGGAGA